GGAGAGGAGGAGGCAGGGACGGGAAGTAGTGGGAACCGAGTTTTGGGAGAAGGGGAAGAATGGGCCAGGTTGGGGAAAGGGCAGGAGTGGGAAGAGGTGGGTTAGAAGCAGAGATTGGGGAAAGTGGTGGAGTGGGAGTGGGGCCAGTACCTCTCAGCTAGAGTGGAACTCAGTGCCCATGGGAGCATCGAGTAACCACAGACATGGAGCAGGATACTATTGTGCTAGACATTGTACAAACACAGAACAAAGGATTGTTCCTGCCTCAAAGACTATACAATATACAGTATTTGATAGTATTTGCAGCCCTGTGTCATGTGAAAAGCCTACCATGTTCCTTAATATTTTGCTGTATGTTTTGCCATATTTTCAATCTGTTGTACTTTTTGTGTGGGGAGGTGGAATAATCTAGGCGTCAGTTCTGCAAATGTGTAAGTACTTGCTTACTTTTAAGCATGTGAGTAATTTCATTGACTTTAATAGGATTAGTCTCATGCTTTTAGGTAGCCATGTACACAGATGTGTGCAGAATCAGGGCCTAAATTTATATATGCTAATCCACAAAAAAAGTGTAATAGGATCCCATAGTAATTCAGATGAGGGGATATGATCACACCTAGTATAATCTTTTCTGTATAATTTTCATTCTCTTTTAAAAATATGTACCTGTTTAACTTCATCGTTGAGCTATCTATGATGGCAAGATCTTTTTATTGATCTTACCGAGAAAATATAACTTTTTCTATATGACCAATTATTTTTAGTTGATTAGATTATGTTTGTGTATGTGAACACTTAATAATTGTCCAAATTCAATGTAATCTGCCTTCAAGGTCACCAATCTCCCAATGTATCTAAATCCCCTGTGTTATTTATATTCATAAATTCCACATACAGAAGGGATTATTGTGGTCATCTAGTCTGATTACAGTCTCTAAGTATCCACATGGGGGGAAATATTTAATAATGAGCTCTCCAATCTAGTACAGCAAGATACAACACAATCCAATAGCTGGAAACTGTAGCTAGACAAATTCAGTCTGGAAATTGGAACATTTTATGAAAGGTTGTGGTGTACAACACGGGCCATAGAACTTTCTAGAATAATTACTAGGCCATATTGTTTAGAGAAATTTTTAATCTGGGTTTAAAAAATGTTAGTGATGGAGAATCCACCACAACCCTTTATAAATTGCTCTAATGGTTAATTACTCTTATTGTTAAAATTGTATGCCTTATTTCCAGATTGAATTCGTCTAGCTTCAGTTTCCAGCGATTGGACTGTGTTGTATCTTTCTGTGCTAGATTGAAGACTCATTATTAAATATTTCCTCCCATGTGGATAATTAGAGACTATAATCAAGTCACCTACTAACCTTCTCTTTGTTAAATTAAACACTTTGAACTCTCTGAGTCGCTTGTTGTCAGGAATAGTTTCTAATCCTTTAATTCAGGAACAGGAAACCTCCAGCCTGCAGGCCAAATGTGGTTTGTCAGGGTTAGCCTCTGCTGGGCAGAGATGCTTTGTTTACAGGAATGGCAACTGGGGCCACTGGGAGGTGTGAAGCTCCACGCCTGTGGACACTTTGGTAAACAAAGCGTCTCATGGCCCGCCAGCGGGTAATTCTGACAATTATGTGCAGCCCATAGGCTGGAGGCCCTCCACCCCTGCTGTAATCATTCTTGTAACTCGTTCGTCAACTCTTCAGAATTTATCAGTCTCCTTTTTGAATTGGAGATCTGAACTAGAGAGCATTCCAACAGCAGTCATACCAGAGCCAAAGAGATAGGTAAAATGATCTCTTTGCAGTTGCTCAAGATTTTTCTTTGCATACATCCCAGAATCACAATATAGGATCTTT